GGGTGAAAAGATGGTGAAGGAATTCTGAAAAAGTTAATCAAGATGGAAGTATGAGAGGAACAAGAGAGGTGGGTAGAATATACAAGGAAATAAGTGAAGGAAAAGGTAAACAGAGGTAGGCAGAGATGAAAAAAGAGATAAAAGGAGAAAGGCACAGAGACAGGTAATCAAATGGGAAGCAGAATAGCAACTGAACTCACATACTCGCTGAAACCGCATGGGATATCTCGCTGTAAATGACACTTGATTATGACTCCCTTTAAATTACAGCACTCACCTCAACTTCAAGCCCGCCGCAATGTTCCTTAGGTTAACCGCTTAACCACACATACATAGGACAGCACGTACCAAGCATGTCCGTTCGACTATCACAGGATTAAATTCAACAACGAGCCAAGAATTGTTCAGTCTACTGACCCGTGACAAATCCTACGAACATCCATAGATGGGAAGCACTTTGAGCGAACGATGCTACCACTTCGATTTGCTCAAAAGCAAGCAGACTTATGCAGCTGTGTCTCGAGCTATCTGTAAACATACCGCATAGGAGTACAGTGTGGACAGGTATAATAAAGTATAAGAGAAAACCCATGAAAGAGGAAAAAGCAAAGCCAAAGCAACCGTTAACCCCAATATGCTTTTTTCCAATAAATCACACAATAAATATGATCCCCACCCCCCTTTCCCCATCTTTAAAGCTTCATACCAGTCATCTTGGAAACGCGCAAGCTCTGCCTTATGCTAAGATCAAGCATGATCTCCTCCGAGCCACCGGGGATGGCATAAGCCCTGACATCACGGTACAGCCTCTCGACCTTGCCGCCCTGGCCACCGCGGGAGTAGGATAGACCGCCGAAAATCTGGGAGGCCTCGCGGGCACAGAACTCAAAGGTGACGGTGGCCTGGGCCTTGAGGGAGGCGATGGCGCCGCCAAGACGGAGCATGGCCTCGGTATCGCCCATCTTCTCGCACTGGTAGATGAGGTTCTCGAGCCAGTTGTACGAGGCCTCGATTTGGCGGGCCATGTGAGCGAGCTTGAGGCGGATGACGGGGTGCTCGATCAGCTTCTTGCCAAAGGTGCGGCGCTTGTTGGCGTACTTGACCGACTCCTCGTAGCAGACACGCGAGAAGCGCAGGCACTGGATGATGATGCCGATGCGCTCGTGGTTGAAGTTGGTCATGATGACGCGGAAGCCCTGGTTCTCCTTGCCGATCAGGTTCTCGACGGGGACCTTGACGTCCTCAAAGGTGATGTAGGTGGTGCCCGAGGACCAGACACCCTGGCAGTCCATGCGGCGGGTGGACACGCCGGGGAAGTCGCGCTCAATGAGCAGGAGAGAGACGCCGTTCATGCCGGGGCCGCCAGTGCGCACGGCTGTGGTGAAGTAGTCGGACCAGATACCGTTGGTGATCCACTTCTTCTCGCCATTTACAATGTAGTGCTTGCCATCCTCGGTAAGCTTGGCCTCGCAGGTGAGGTTGGCGACGTCGGAACCGGCGTCGGGCTCGGTAATGGCAAGGCAGATGCGCTTGTCACCATTGAGGATGCCAGGCAGAATGCGGTCGACAAGGGGTTTCTTGCCGAACTTGACGAGAGGAGGGCAGCCGATGCCGAAGCCGCCAATGACATTCCAGACAAAACCACCGGAGCCGGTGCGAGAGAGCTCGTCGGTTACGAGCATCTCGTGGAAGAGATCCCACTTCTCGGCGGGGACGGACTTGATGGGGTTCTCGACATAGTTGCTTTGGTACTTGGTGCCCAGCAGACCGGCGAGGTAGCCGCGCTTGCCCATCTCCTTGTAGATCTCAGCAGGAACCTCCTTCTTCTCATCCCACTCGGTGACATAGGGGTCAATGGCGGTCTCGACCCACTCGCGGATCTCCGCACGGAGGGCGGCGTGAGTCTCGTTGTAGTAAGGAGAGTGGTACTAGTGGAGCAAAACAGTGAATTAGCCGAGGCACATGGAAGGAAATGGATTCCAACTTACGCTCTGGTACCAGCTGGGGTCAGCAAAGGGGATAAGCTGGCCGAAGGGCTCGAGAGCCTCGGATTGCTCGTGGGAAGAGGAGGAAGCGGTAGAAGCCTTGGGCTTGGGGGCGGCCTTGGGAGCAGGGGCCGGAGCAGCAGCGGGAGCGGGAGCAGCGGCTTTGGGCTTGCTGTCTAGGGAGCCGATCTGGAGCTTGCCCTGGTACTTCTTGAGGATGCCCTCATTATGGTACTTCCAGAACTGCTTGGAGGCGTCCTTGCCGCCAACCCTCTGGAGGATCTTCTTGCCGCCTGTTCCGATCCACAAACAATGGTCAGTTTCTAGGTTACGTCCTCGGGGTAAATAGACGAAGGAGGTTCGCGCATAAGCATACCGGGATGGTCGTCAGCAAACTTGGTGACATCGTAGACATCGCCATCAATGACAATCCAGAGCGAGTCTGGTTTGCTATGCGACGAGACGTCGGCCTGGGTGAAGATCTTGGACATGATGGATGGGTATAGTGTATAAGGAATGGGTATATGGATGAACGAGTTCAAGAAGAAAGAGAAAGAATAGGGATGGAGAGAGACGGGAGAAGATCAAGAAAATAAAGACATGAACCAAGAGGGCCACGAGGGCAGCTTTGAAAGCACAATCGATCCATATGGGGGAGAGTGTGGGGGAGTTAAGTTGTCTCCTTGTCCCTTGTCACATCCATTCCACTGGCAAGCATCCCCGGTTGTACCACAGTATGGATTCGCGCAGCCAATGGATGGTTGGCGGCCAAAATTGTCCTGCACGGTAAATGCGCCGAAACGGACTTTCACATGTGATCATGCCACGGAAAGCTTCCACACCGACGTCTGGTGTACACTTCATACGTTAGATTGCTTTGAAAGTTGGAGCACATGTGCGTGAGATCTGATATTGGCAGGATGATAGGATGCCGTCTGTACTCTGGTTGGTGTCTGACATCCGACAAGAATGTAAACATTGTCTGAACTTGTGGTTCCGACAGCTGCATGCTGCCAGTGTCAGCCTGATCAACTGTGAGTTGACATTCACCAAATCGTCTCTGCGGATGGCACGGTCGAAAAATAGATAAAGCAGCCAACTTCAAGATCCAGAAGCCGTCGTAAGGTCCGACTTTACGATTTTGGAGATTCAGTTCGTTGTATCTATCTTTCATCCTTGACTTCCAACAGTTCGTTAGCACTGTCCGTCCTCGACTGCCCGTCCTCGACTGCCCGTCTCCTGCCCGTGGGGAAGACCCCTGCGCTATGCAATCCGACCCACCTCCGCCTTTGGTATCTCACTTGACATGAAACCTCACAGTTTGATATTCAAACTTTCAACTGTCTTTGGGCGGCTTTGCTCCAAACCTCCGGTACTTATCCAAAGGAGGACGATGACGACGGCGAGGCTGGCCGTTCTCGAAATGGAATGAAATACGGGAACATGTGACACCCTTCCAAATCACTTCCAGTTCCCATTTGCAGCGAGTCTCGTTGAATGTCTCTGTTTCGGTCCCCACCGTGTCCACGTTAGGCTGATGTCATTTGTTCCAGTGGGACCAATTGGAACGGCTGGGATTACCACCCAACAATGAGCCGAGGCAAGTGTGGTGCTGCCACGGTGCGTGCCGCGGCCACAGCCTGTAGTGTAGTGCACTGCACAAGGACCGAGCCGATGCTGATTACACGTACATGTAGTCTAGCATGTACAATTCATGGAGCCCTTCATGGAGCTCGGCTTCGTTCGTTGAATGCTACGAACTCCCGCCATGGGGTCGACTAATTGTGGAGTTGGAGATACATTAACATAACTTTCTTATTGCAGCAGTTGCTCCATGATAGCGGTCTGTATGATCCCATCCGTATCCCATGATCATCAATCAATAATTATAGCTAGATGGCGGTAAATCTGTGAGGACTCAATCGTTCGCATGGCAAACGCAAAAAAACAAGTAGGTACACATTCCCGTAACCTTGGGTTCCACGGATTCCTCGACGTGCTAAATGATACACACATCTCCGTACCCTTTTCCCTTCCGCCTGTAAAACTCCCATAAACTCCTGAATACCTGAAACGCCAGTACCCATCAGAACACGGTAAGTAATCGGCCACGTGATGACATTCCCGCCCTAAGCACCACGAGGCTTCGCCTTAAGCTTTGCCTTTTCCTTTTTCTCCTCCTTGACCTTCTTCCTCTTCTGCTCCGCCTGCTCCTCCAGCTTGCGCTTGTGCGCCTTCTTCTCCTCCTCCGTCTTGGGCAGTATCTTGAAGAAACCCTCGATTCTCGCCTGTTGCGAAGTCTTCATGTTCTTCTCCAGCTTTGTGCCCGCGCTGCGGACACGGTCCTCCGAAAACCCCTTCTCGTGAACGAGGAACTGGATGAGCCCCTCGATGTCGGGCTTATCCCACTTGAAGTCGCACAGCGGGTCGTCGGCGGGCCGCACGTCCGGCTCGAAGAAGAGCGCGCGCGCGTCCTCAAACGGCCAGTCCTCTGGGATTTGGTAGCGGCCCTTGGGGTCCGCCTTCATCCATTCCACCACCTTCTCCAGTGTGCCGTGCTCGCGGATCAGCTTGAGCGCTGTGCTGGGTCCGACTTTGGGGATGGGGTCGAGGTAGTCGCAGCCGAGGAGAATGCAGAGGTCGATGAACTGTAAAAGAGCATGCTGTCAGCATATCGCAGTATTTTTTTGATAGCCCGAAGAAACAAAAGGCAGGGGAAAAAAACATACTTGCTTCCTCTCCATGCCTAACCCCTCCAGAACCTTCTCCAAATGGATCTCCTGAATCGGCTCCTTCCTCTGCTCGCTAAACGTCAAATGCCTGAGCAAAATCGGCGCGTTAAAGCACAACGTATCCATATCCTCGCTGGCAGCCGCATACACCTTGCCCGCCCGCGCCAGCACCGCGCACTGCGCCTCTGCCTCGGTGGGCGCCACAATGTAGGGGATGCCCATCAACTTCAACAACCTCTGGCACTCGGCATTGTGCTCGCGTGTGACACGGACCGTTCTCCGACTGAATTTCTCCACGTCCTCGGCCGTGCCGGTTTCTTTGGCTTCCTCCAGCCCTTCGGTGGCTTCCTGCTTGCGCTGGAACCGCTTGGCTAGCTCCCCGGACTTGAGTTTGGGTGGCGCGCCGTCGAACACGTAGAGCGGCTTGATGCCATTGTCGACCATCCGTAGGGTGCGGTAGAACATGCCCATTAGATGCGACGTGGTTTCGCCGGCCTCGTTCATTAGTTGTTGGCCATCGGAGCGGACGGCGATCAGAAAGCTGTAGATGCTCATGGAGCTGTATAACGTTTAGGGAGGAGGTTATGATGTCAGCCATTATGGAACGGTAGGTTACGTCTTTTTTTTCTCCTTCATGATCGAAGTCGGGGTTGGGGTCGGGCGGGGGAGTCGTACGCATCCTGTGAAAAAAAGGTGAAATGTTAGCATGGTTTGAAGAGAAAGAGTACATTGATTGGCGAAGTGGAAAATGTCATAAAACTCACAATGGCAACCTTGCGACCGAACTGATTCTTGATCTCGCCCTCCTTGATGGCGTCAGGCGCTTCATCTTTGATGACCGAAAAAAGTTGTTTAATACCCATCTTTGCGATTGTTATTCATGCGATTCCGGGTTCGAGATTGGGGTGGATTGACAAGGTGGTAAGTCAGGCGGATTCTGTGCAGAAATTGGAGAAAGTCAAAGTAGGTTGTTGTTGCAGACGGGACGGATGTATCTTGGTCTCTTGTAGGTGATGTCACTTTGTGACGGGAAACGAGAGGAGGCTTTCCGCGTCCGTCCAGTGGAATTGACGCGCTGAAGCTGCTGAAGACCGGATTGCCTGCCTGGAGACGCACCTCTTTCGCGATGGTAAATGTGGGGCACTTAGAATCCCTGCATGTCTGTGCTCTACATATTGGAGTGATGCTCGGACAAATACGGGTTAGGGTTGGACGTCTACTCGAAGCCACGGGGTTGATGAATCAAGTTGCTCTTCGTCTTCGTGCTTGTGTCTCTCCAAAACCGGACACTTTCCAAGGCCATTTTTATGATTGCAAAGAAACAGTCCTATTTTCATGTAACATTGACAATACAAACTCTCTTGATCGAATTTCCTAAATACCTCGAGCTTCTCCATTACCTGGAAACAATAATTGGTATAACTGGCACATAAAGAGGTAAAACAGGTAACTAGCAGATTTCGCAGTCATCCCCGTCCAAACATGCTCATATACTATGGCATAAAAGGCAGGAATGATTTAGTAAATCGTGCCTCAATAGTGAGGTTGTTGAGTAAACAGGGTGAGAGGGACAAAAACAAGGGTGAAGTCTTAGAAGTTCTCCTTGCCCCAAACAAAGTGGAAACTAATGCAAGATGTTAGCGGTCTTTCTACTGCATTTCCACCACAAAAGATTTATGAACTTACCCAGGCTCACTATACTTGTTGCAAAAGATGTGCAGCGAGCTGCCCAGTCCCTTGGGACCGCAGAAGAACACACCCGCCTCGCCCGGAGCATGTAATTTCCTGATACCCCTAAAGATCATATCCCAGTTCGGACGACCAAAGTTCGTCGGCGACCTCAAGCCAGTAATGGTATCCTTATCGGCGTTGGCATCATTGATCATGATGTTGGTCGCATCGTCAATCTTGATCTTGGCCGTCAGGTACGTGTGGATCTCGATGCGGTGGTCGACATCTTGGGCCTCGATAGCCAACAAAAGAGAGCGGAACCACTCGAACGAGCCGAAATCTCTGCAGACCCAGAAGAAGTACACCTTGCTCAGCCGCGTCTTTTGTTGCGGGTAGTTCATGCGATACCAGATCGACTTGAGGATGGAGGCGAAGGGGGTCACGCCGATACCGGCGCCAACCAGGACGGACACCTCGTACTTGAACACGTCTTCGGAGGCGGAGCCGAACGGTCCATCGACGTACACACGGGGAAGAACACGGCGGAGAGCGGGATCAACTTCGTCGTTCTCTTGGCTGACGCCAACGACCTTGGACGTGTCTCCCTTCTTCTTGTTGTCGAATTCGCACCCCAAAGTCTCGGCAAGTTGCCTGGTAAAATCGCCGACGACACGTACGTGGATCGAGATGTAGTCCTCCTCTGGTGCGCTCGTGAGGGTGAAGGGATGGTACTGCCACAGGGATACAGCCGGGCAGCAAAAGAAGATGTACTGGCCGGCGCGGGTCTTGGTGTTCTCCTTCTTGATCTGGATCTCGCACACGTTGCTGGGGTGCTGGACAACCTTGGAGATGTACGTCTTGTGCTTGCCACGGACCTCGCGGGCAATGCGCTCGGCGAGATAGGCAAATCCTCCGTACATCCAGTACTGCCAGAACACACCGATGGCCGTGGTGCCGACGGAAATGCAGAAAGGCGCGAAGTCGGGCTGGATCATGCAGAAGGCACCGTGGATGGACCAGAAAAAGAAGAAGATGATGAACATGTGGTGCGTGTACCAGAACCGCTCGTAGTTCGCCCGCCTTGTCTTTTCGACCGAAGTGATCACCATACCTGTCAGCGCGATCAACATGATATAACCAGTCCAACCGGGGCCCGAGACAAAGTTGGCCAACAGCCAGCCGTAGATACCGAGGTTGTTCTTGGCTGCAATCTGGGCAAAGTTGTTCCAGTGGGCAATGGTGTGTACCCACGACCAGAAGAAGATGGACCATGCTGTCGTGATGTGGAAGGTAATGTTCTTGTCGAATTGGATGATGCCGTTCAGAGGAGTCTGTCTTGCGAGGGAGATGAGCGTTCGGCAGACGGGGAAAAGGACCAGGGCAACATCGACGTGCAGAACCAGCGCTGCCGATCTTGCAATCATATATGTCGGTCCAAACGTATCCCGCGCTATTTGTAGGTTGTCTTTGACGGCGTAGTTAACGAAGCCAAAGGCAAAGACGATGGCATGGAGCACCATAAAGACGAAGACGAAGCTGTAACAGTCAGCATTCCATTCTCTTCCCTCGTCCCAACAAGCCATCGGCGGTCCAAGGGACAGTAAAGGTTTGTGCTTACATTCGTCGATAGCCTTCGTTGACCATCCATCGGTCGAACTTTTCCCTTGGGCTCAGCTCCTTTTGCCTTTCCTGCGTCATTTCACCCGACAGTAGCATGCGAGTAAGTGGCGTCCATCTTGACCTCTCTGACGGCTTTTCGATCGACGAATCCGTGTTCGACCTGTACAGGTCGTACCCCCCGTAACTCATCTTGGGTGTTTTGCTTTCGTTGTCGTCGCAATATTTGTGTGTGATGTTCGTATTCCAACCTTTGTCTCCGTCGAACTTGAAATTTCACTCCCTTCTCAGCCCTTCAGATATATGTCGTAGACCCCCTGGTAGGAGGTTTCGTCTTTCCGTTCCACTCAAGCAAGTTGAAAAATAGTTGTTGAATTCTGGTGGATTGGTCCTCGGGAGTCAGAGCCTGCTGAACTGATCGAGAGACACGAGTATTAAGTGAGTGAGAGACGAGAATGATAACAAGATTGTTTGTAAAGAATGTAATGGTATGAGCCTGTAACTGCCACGTTAAAGTGGTGTCGGTCAGCAATTACAAGCTCTAAGTGAATAAACCTCTGCAGAAAAGGGAAAGAGGGGGGGGGGGAAGGAGCAAAGAGGCTAGGCGGAGTACGGGATGTGGGAGGAAGGATATGGTTAAGACAGTGACGCCAAGCGGACCAGAGTCGGAGAGTTATTAAACATGAGGCGATTTCTGGTACATCATACCTGTACTACGAATGCCTGCACCTGGCGGCTGTTTCTCTTTCACCTACCGGAGCACTGAAGCCTCAATGGCAAAAACGACCCGAAGTGTGTTAATTCAGTAGGTGAGAAGAGGAAAGAAGGCAACAGTGTACAAGCAGAAGAAATGACTCGACAGAGTGTTTGGGGCACAGACTGAAGTGACGTAGAGTTGTATGGACCAGGGACTGAGGCTTTCCCAAGTCTGGAACCTCCCAGGGGCTTTTCAGGGGACCATCAAAGAGAAATGAGAAAAAGAAACCGAGAAAATCGAATGATCGAAAGCATGGAATCCTACGCAACTTCAGACCCAGGTTCATCAGTGTTGAAACGAGCGACCCTGCCGAACGTGTCACTGGCGTTGTTAGCAAGCAATGGGTGCTATGGGAGCACCAGGCACTCCCAGTGTGCTTTGGGGTCGCCACCACAGCGAATGAAAACACACAAGTGACTGCGACCAGACGGCCGTTTTCCGTGTCTCTCCAGTCAAGTCGCTTTAACGCCGAGATCTGTTTCTGTGCCTCGTGTGGCGCCCGAGAAGACCAGTTGTGTTTTGAACAGGGCATCGCGGCAGCAACCTACAAGAGAAGTGCCTGGCGTGAAGTGGCAGGTGATATATGGCGCCATTCTGGATACATAACCAGCTTCTCCTGTCTGAACCAATATGCTTCGGACTCTTTGGAGTCTGGTTAGACTGCCCAGTCGAGGCGGATGGGATCAAGGACGTTACGTTGTTCGGAGACGGAGACACACAGACAACTGAACTTGAAGACTGCAAAGACTCTGGGGACTTGGAGACATGGCCACATTGGCTCAGAGACCCCATAAAAATCATGCTACTGTCCTGCGATTGGTCAAAGGCTGCTCATTCGGTTCAGCCCGTGTTGCATTCCCCGTTTCGGCCAGGATCATGACACATTTGATAGGGGGAGTCTTGGGAGTCTTGGCGTTCTACTTTAGGGGCTCTCTCAAGGCCCGAGCAGCGAGTCTCAACTGAAGCATTCGAATGCCCAGAAAGAGACGTCTTCACAACCCCTCATCATTCAAATTTGGATTGTTCCATGATCAGATCCGGACACCGAAATCAAGAACTGGTTCGTACTTTAAATGTCTGGTTTGGTTTTCGACTTCTAAGCGCAATAACCATGAGGCCTTGTTGCCATCGGGTTACTGTTGTGCGGGCGCGATCCCGTGCAACCTCAACCCAAACTTCTAAGCGCCGAACTCTCAAACCAGCCCTTTATCGCCTCAGTTGAGTTTGAGGACTTGGAAGCATGCATGCCCTGGGTCACTGTTCAGCATGACCGCAACTAGCGTAACCGCGGGGAGGGTCAGCCCGATGAGCCGGGCACACAAGGTCCCAACGCCGACAAGTCGTTGCCGTCCGGTACCATCGACTTCTTGTAGATCTCTGACTGCCCTTCAGTGAGCCTGGGAACCTACAAGTTCATTATCATGGCCTGTGATAAAAGGCATTGTCTCGCAATCCACATGAAAGATATGACACCTACTCAGTCACCTACCCGTTTTCTGGACAGCCTGTTGGGCCTGTGAACCACATGTCAAGGAGATGACAAGTCTCGCGCACGTCATCCGACCAAACTTCAGCTACTTCAAATAGCCATCAAGGTCAGCAGCGGGCTCATTAGTTGCAAACTGCCCGATACCATACTCGCACATGGAGAACGGAACGTCATTCACGGATAGAGCACAGGCCAAACATCAGGAACGATAGAGGGAAAGACAGAATGCTATTGTACTGGAACCCCTTGGTATTGCAGACCTTTGTAAATAATGTGATGCGAGCAAAGAAACTTGAGTGCCGGTACGCAATGGTTGCATCTTGCGCCTGCTGATTCCGCCCCGCCCCTTGTCGTGACATCGAAAGACACCGCTTGCTGTGCCACACCCCCATCCTCCACTGTTTCGAGCCGCTCGAATGGCATTTGCAATTTTTGCAACGTTCGCACTGAAGAAAGCTGGGAATTCCCTCTGGGCCTAGAGGAATATAGGACGCGAACCGGAACCACAATACACTCGTGCTCCCATGGTGAATATGTGGGTGCCCCTCCAAAAGAGGAGCCAAAACGTTGAAGAAACGATCCAGCGCTGCTTGTCGGCCATAAATCCATCCCATTATCTACTCTAGATAGCATACTTCCGGGTCCACTCGCGAGCCGTCGCCTCGTACCTGGCGCGGTCTGTCTTGTACACGTGCGCAATCTCGGGCACAAGCGGGTCGTCAGGGTTGGGATCCGTCAACATCGAGCAGATGGAGAGCAGAACTGCACAGTTGTCAGCAGCCGAAGGACCACGTGGGCGCTAGAAGAGGATGGACACAGAGAAACATACCCTTGGAGATCGTCAACGCCGGACTCCACTGATCCCTCAAAATGTCGAGGCAGATGCTGCCGTTCGAGTTGATGTTGGGGTGGTAGATCCTGGTGGTAAAGCTGACTTTGGGAGGCTTAAAAGGATAATCGGTAGGGAACTGAATGTTGAGGAAGAAAACGCCGCCGGTGTAGGGGGAGTCGGCAGGGCCCATAATGGTCGCTTGCCAGTGGAACTATTCAATCGAGCATGTCAGCATGTCTGTTCACGAGCAAGATGCCACGGTTCGATCCACGGCAAAGGTCATGACGCGATGCTGGGGGTCGAGCCGTGCTTATCGAAAAAGCGGGGTGGCTTATCCATACAAGATCTTCACCCTGAGGGCCAGCAGAGCAAGAGGAGGGCGGATCGCTACAGACAACAACACGTCAGCATCATATCCGACAGCAGATACGGAATGCATCTCTGGCGTCTGCGAAAGCAGTTCGAGACGGCGCGAAGGTCAGCGGCGGCGACGGCAGCGGCGTAAACCCCGCCAGCGCGGCCCCACCACTGAACCTTGCGCCGGAATGACGCTTTTGCGGCATCGCGCGAGACGGCAAAGGACTAGCGGGATTCGTGTTTACATACCGGCCGAGATCAGCGAGCTCCTTGTTAATGCGCTTCAACGCCATTGTGTGATATTAGTTGTGTAAAGGTGGGTGGTTGTGGTTGTCGTAATCGCTGTTGCGTTGACGACACGAAGTGTGGCTGCAAGATTTAAAGGGTCAGGGTCAGCGTTTGCGGGCGGTGGAAGAGCAAAGAAGCGGAATGAATGGGCAGTGGGCAGTGAGTGAATCAAGGCTGGGCTGGCTGGCTGGCTGCTGCTGCGATAATACTCTGGGCACGTCGGTCGTGCAAACGGGAGAAAAAAAAGTCGATCACGAATGGGCAGCGGACGAGAGCACGGCGGTCGGTTCGACTTACAAGATGGAAAGCAAAAAGCACTATATCGCTGAGTCACACCACGGTATTGGGGTGGGTTTCGTCAACAGGCGAGAAGATGGTGACGGGATGCAAACTAGTTGATGTCGAAGTCGGTTGCAGGAGAGTAGGATGGAATGGCGGAGGGGGGAAATGGATCAGGATCAGGCGAACAAAGGTGGGTTCCCGTTCAGGTGCCAGCGGGCGGGACGGGAGCCTGAGGAAGCCAGTCCCCCCGGCCCAGTGAGGTTGTCCCACCCACCCGACCAGTCCCACGGCAGGGGCAGTCTCTCTCTGGCTTCTACCTACGGCGCGCTCTGCCCACTGCCCGCCGATGGCGCTGTCCGTGGCCGACCACTCAAGGCTCTTGCTGCATGACCGCCTGCCGATGTCTGTTGGCCTGGGCAGCATGGGCGGCTGGCAATTCAGATCGGATGCCGGCAGGGGTGGTTTGACGCCCCCCCCGATTTGACCAATCATTGAGTCCAAAAAGGACAGCGCCACTGGTTTACCTCGTCATCGTCAGTGCACCGCCACCGCAATGGCCGAGCTCATTCCGAGACTAAAGACTCCCGCCGGCACCACTTGCCGGCCAGTGCAGCTGGAAAGCCGACGACCGACGACGACGACCAGACTGGAACATTGCGATGATTCGCTCAAGACCTGTCCAAACTACTGAATCGGAGAGTCACTCTCTTCCAAGTCGAATTTGGATGGAAAAAGTATTGATCATGGATGAAATGTGTTTTGGGGGCCGACAAGTACAGTACTTAGCTAGGCTGATATGGAAGGAAATGGGAACCGGTTATACGTGTCTCTCAAAACTGAAGGCTCTGCTAAAACCAAAGGGCATGCTCCAGATATTCGCACGATGGTTGTTGAAACTGTTCTTCGGGTCAGCTCCGAGTTTGGGGTTCAGGTCTTGGGCGTACCAAATATGCAAGCAACGGTGCACCTCTCGGCCCCGGACGGCCGGACACGGAGTCATCCAACCACAAGAGTACAAACTGGCAGTGAGTATATGATGATCTGGGCATTAAATCAAGTGGAAGAGGTGGGCAAATGTAGCGGTTTTGTATAGGGTGATCATGCATGAAGTCCGGCTCATCCATCATGTTGCATATTCTCAGGCGCAAGTCGGACCTCCGTCGCAATGCACTCCACGAGAAAGTCATCAAAAAATGTGACATTATGCTCAAAACCAATAACTAGGTAATTAGACTAACAATGTACATGAAAGGGTTATTTCATTGTGCTCGTGAATATTCGGCTGCAGGCATCTCACAGTTGGGTGCATGATGCCTAAGGGCTTAACTTCTATCATGCATCCTCGGACTTGGAAATTGTCCAGAATTCATGCCTCCGCAGATGGTGTTGCATGGCCACATTTCTCTTGTCCAGTCAAAGGATAAATACTCGTTCTCCCCTCCATGTTTTCAGGGTGGCCTCTTCTTGTTCCTCTCCTTCATTCAATAGTCGTGACTTTGGTGTTTTTCACATCGACAAATTAACAATCCCCTAAAGATGATGCCAGCATATTTTAGAAACCGACAAACAAATCCCATCAGCATCATGCCTCCTCCTTAGTTATCAGTTCACTAAAAGGGCCATATCGAGATTACTAACAAGCTGAAATCTGTTACGACGACATGTCGGGGTTCACGGCATACCACAGGTACAACAGGTGGCTGCTCAACCGATCCCTTTCACCGATGTACCGACATTAACGACACCACGACGTTTGGAGACAGTTATTAACACTCGGAAAGCAGGCGTACAAGGCACAATAGGGACATGGCAATTCTTTGCTAAGGAACGACTTCAACCGAGAAATCACCAGCTGACCGGCAAGAGACTTCAATTCAGAATCACGGCCCCCACCACCCATGCCAACCACTTCCAACAATACGAACATCGACTGGGTCAGGAGATCTTCTTCTTCACTTCGCCAGGACGGTGAAACACATCCCAACGAGAGCAACGAAAAAAAGTTTGTGTTTGTTTCGTCAAAGACGAGAGTGTGACACCAAAAATTGTGCGGTGGCTAAACTACGGGCCCATCCCACCGAAGTGAGATCCCTGCCATGGATTCTTGAGCGCATGACAGAACCGTCTTCTAGGATGGGGAAGAAAAGGAAAGAAAAAGAGTTCAGAGGTCAGGGAGCAGGGAGATATATATACTTGTGGGAGCTGACCAGACACACATGGCCCCATCTTCACGAACGGTAATGCGCCTTCCGCGACAAGCAACACAGATACGTTCGATCCAGTCAACATGGCATCACCAATTCGGCTTGTCTGAGAACTGAGGAAACAACGACCATCTGGATCCGGGATGCACGACGCGATAACAGAGAGGTACACCACAACGCAACAGCTGACTGGCAGCCGCAGGTTCTTACCTCTATCGACAACAGAACGTTCCTGCCAGAGACCCAATGACCCAACGATGACATGACTAGAAATCTAACCAGCAGGTCCTCCCAACACCGTTCTTCGACAACTGTTTTGGAGGGCGGATTACATGTTCCCGAGGGCGCCATTTGAACCGGAACCTCAGCAGCGGTTCAGATCAACGACAAGGCAAGCGCGTTGCGGCGAAGGTCCGCCAAGAACGGAAGAACGACCATCGACCGAATATGAGATCATGTACTCAAACCATCGCGAGTCAAAAACAGCACGACACCCGCATCTCATGCACGCAAGACAAAGCCATATAAGAACCGGAATAGCGAACCCAATCAACCAACAATATGCCAACAAGACAACTCGTCTATGAATACACTCGGCCGTCGACCACCTGTCGAAGGTGCCGAACAGAAAGTACAAGAAGGCATCAATAACCGGCAAGCCGAGCATTAACATAACAGCAACTGCGAGGGCATCACACATACACATGGAACTACCTTATTCTGATGTGCGGTTGGGCTACAAGGAAAGTCACACCACCGGGCAATAGGCATCGTCCTTGTCACGGCAACCGCGGGCGGATGGTGGGAGGAATACAGTGTGGTTCCAGTCATTGTGAATGGAAATATTCTTCTTTTCTCGATTCCTTCTTTTCCATCACTCAATTCCTTCAGCCTCCCTCGACCCTACCTCTAGGTACGTACTCAAAGTGCTAATTCCCACTGACCATAACTCAGGGTAAGCTGGGCGGCTGCCCTCACTAAGGTGGGTACCTACGGCATCCTCTCTATTTTCTTGCTGCTTCCTCCCTCTCTTTCCGCTTCTTCTTTTCCTCGGCCTCCTTCTTTCTCTTGCAGCTCGAGCATGACTTGTCAGACTGCTTGCTAACCTCCTTGTTGTCGGAGCGGATATCACCGCAGGAGCCCCAGTATTTTGCCTTTGCGCACGTCAGGCGTTCGCTGCTGGTGGAGACTACGTCGGAGCAGTCGGGACATTTGTAGCTGGTTTTTATCTGGCCACACATTGTGTCTTTCTCTTTCTTGAATCGATCCAGATAGGAATATTAAAACTGGGTTATTGTATTTGTCGAGTCTGGATTGGTTGGGGCGCTATTGCTGTTGGTAATGATGCTGGAGAAGATATAACGCTCCTGGATAGGTGTAAATCGTGGACCTTATGTAGATCTTGAATTCGAAATGGGAAGCTGGTCACACTTGAGCACGATGGGCAGTATGCGTGAGGTAACATGGCCGTCTCGATAAGTTGTCTAGAACGAGGTCGGACTGCCGAGGCTTGGTACCAAATGACGCATCAAACGGAACATGCTTGCGAACTTGGACTCGTGATCTGGATGGTAGCCCCATTCGACAGTCAAGATCTAAGCACGAGACGACAGCAAACCACCACAGCTGTATTGCAACTACGAGGGCCGGGCTTCACACATGGAACTACGCTCATTCTGATGAGCAATTGGACTACATGGAGAGCAAGTCACACCCTTGGGAAATGACATTGTTCTTGCCTTTGGCAAGCGCGGGCGGATGGTGGGAAGAGCGGTGCGATCCTGTTGTGTTGAGAACGCGGCAGTTGCAATGCCACTGAAGCGGTTCTTGCTTTGAGAAGATGAATGCTCCTTAGGGAATCTTCCAGGCTGTCAAGCTTGCTGAGCAACTTCCCAGATTGGACGAGGTATCATTGGAATGGGCTTTCTGCTAATGATGTGCCTTGGAGGAGCATTACTTATCATCCCATGAGTGGCTACCTAGCCTGTATGGGCCACTTCTGTCTGGTGAGGCAAGTGTCGTCATTTTGGGGAAACTGGCTTCTGGACCCCTTCGTGAATCAAACCAGGGGAATAACCGAAGGGAAGGGATGCTCTGGCTTCTGTCTGAAATAGGTAAAAAGAGCAAACCAAGTGTGCAAGTGGAAGCATTCGTGACCGCGCGGTCAAATTTGTGGTATCCATTCAAACACCGAAATTTGTTACTGTACACAAAATATGACAATGCGCTCCCGTTCAATCCCACACAACAAACCTCGCTGAAATGAAGAAAGCTGTTTTTACACCGTCTTACACGAAAGCCTGAACACCAGTGATAGCCCTTCCCAGAATGAGACCTAAATCAAATAGTCAGCATCGTCACTTCACCGACCTCTCCCAGTCGGATGGTCAAACTTACTGTGAATATCACTCTGACCCTCATATGTTTGCGTTACATACAAGTTGGCAACAACACGGCCAATATGGTACTCATCTGACACAGCATTACCACCAAAGATCTCTTGCAGCGTGCGGGCGTGGTACAGGGTGCGATCGCAGTTCTGGCGCTTGATCATGCTGATCATCTCGGGCGTGGCCTTGCCCTCGTCCTTGAGGCGGCCGACCTGGATGGCAGCCAGGGTTCCGTAGGCGACGTCGGTGGCCGCCTCGGCCAGCTTCTTCTGCACGAGCTGGTACTTGGCCAGCGGGTTGCCCTTGAACTGCTTGCGCTCGAGGGCGTAGGTGCGGGCCCGCGCCAGGCAGTCCTCGAGCGCGCCCATCATGCCGAAGGCGATACCGAAGCGGGCGCTGTTGAGGCACGTGAAAGGGCCCTTGAGCCCTTCGATCTCGGGGAACATGTTCTCCTTGGGCACCGGGCAGTTGTCTAGCTGGATCATGCCCGTGATGGAGGCCCGCAAACCCGTCTTGTTCTTGATCTGGGGAGTCTCGAGCGTACCCGGTGGGCAGGCGGACCGCTCAACCAGGAAGCCACGGATCTTGCCCGTCTCCTGAAGCTTGGCCCAGACGACCAGGACGTCGGCGATGGGCGAGTTGGTGATCCAGGTCTTGGCGCCGCTGAGTAGGTAGACTCCCTCCTTGGTAGGGTGGGGACGAGCGACGGTCTCCATGGAGCCCGGATCGGAGCCGTGGTTGGGCTCAGTCAAGCCAAAGGCACCAATGATCTTGCCCTTGGCCATGCCGGGCAGAAAACGCTCCTTTTGCTCCGCGGTGCCAAAGTCGTTGATGGGGCCCATGACGAGCGAGGACTGGACGGACATGCCGCTGCGGTAACCGCTGTCGACGCGCTCGACGGCGCGGGTGATCAGACCGCTGGCCACGGAGGAGACGCCGGCGCAGCCGTAGCCCTCAATGGTAGCGCCCAGCAGGCCCAAATCGCCCATCTCCTCGAGGATCTTGGGGTCGTAGTGCTCATCGCGGTAGGCCTGTAGCACGCGGGGGAAAAGCTGTTCCTGGCAGTAACGCTCGGCGGTCTCACCGATGGCAATCTCATCCTCGGTCAAGAGAGACTTGTGGTTGAGAGGGTCTTCCCAGTTGAAGGAGGGAGCGTTGGAGGTGGCAGAGGCAAAGGCACGGACAGGAGTAGTGGTGACGTTGGTGCGCGGCGCCGAGAAGGCCTGACGCAGAAGCCCTTGAGGGCATCTCCTGGCGAGAATTCGAGACATGCCTAATAATTGATGAGAACAGCGGGTATCAAACAGTAACTAACAGACAACTGATTGTAACCTTCCAAGATGAACCCCAAGTTTTGTTACGTCAACCTTTATTTATAAAAGTCATAATCCAAATACAGCTAAAGTCCGGCTTCGGTGCATCTCCGCCCGTGAGGCTAATGTTTTCCACTGTTGTTGTAGCAATCAAAGGCTGCTGTTCACGCTGTTTACCCCCGCTGTGAGGAGCTGTGAGCCACTGACCTCGGAGTTGGAACCCCGTCATTTTACGGCCATGGACCGCCGTTTGCCGAGCATTCCGATTCCCAGGGTACTTCCCGAGGCATTCCATCGCCGGATTGGGTTAGGGTTGTACGTGTGCTACTGGAAAAGGGGTAACAAAACAAACCCGAGTTGGACAAACGTTGAGCCAAGAGGTGATAGAAAGGTGACTAACATCAAGAACATTGATACAGGTTTACAAAAGATTTTCGCGCAGCTTCGATGGATCTCAATGCGTTTCAGGTTGTAAAATACTAGCCCAAGGCAAATGACAAACAAGCCTATGGTATCCGAACGCTGAACAAGACAAAGAAGGGTACCCGCATCACTCCGCGCTGTCCTCATGAAGACGAGTTCGAGGGTTGAAAGACAGGCATTATCGGTTACTACATCCATAAGCAATATACTGCGTTAGCTAAAGAGAATGAATATACTACTCAGTGCTTCACACATAATCAAGCCGGACGCAAGCAAGCCAAAGTTGGCTCAATCTCGAACAAAGCAGATATCGTCCAAACTTGGCTGAACCTGGGTAGAGTTCACAGTGAGATTGAGTTACTAACTCGTTATAGCTCGTTATTGCAAATCTTTCTTAGGATGAGAAGAGAAGTGTCTCATTGGGGACATAAGTCGTGTCGCTTCGGTGGTCATGGTCCAAACTCTCTGTGCTCCGAACAAGTCAAATGAATTGACCCATTCAAATCTTCGTAAAAGCACTTTACATATCACTGCGGGTTTAACAGGTAACGAAGCCAAGTACCATTTTGGACTTGACAAACTTTGTGATGGCAGTTTTGTAAAGAAACGGATCCATGATATCCGAGCGCGTAATGAGGGCAAAGCAGGGATTTGCATCACTTTGCTGTGCCTCGAGGAGGACAGAAGCAGTTGATGTAGGAAGGTGCGGATCAGTTCTATGTGCTTTCCTTCTACTTCTGCTTGACTGTTTTGCCTTGAGAGAATGAAATCGAGTGTCTCGGGATAATGACAAATGCCCCAACCGACGACAACCGGCCTCCCAGCCTCGCTCCTTCCCCAAGGGCCCAAAGGCCTAAACCGACCACCTTCCCGCCCTTCACTACACCACCCTTTATAACCTTAGCCTCCGTCCCTTCCTACCAACACAAGACAAGCCAAGTTACCCGTCCACCAAAGTGTTCAGGTGGCGTAGCGGTCTAATGTTAGACCGCTACTGCCGAACTCGTCGTGGGACCGGGGGCTCGCAAGGCAGGGAGTTCGAACCTCACAACGAGCACTTGTTTAACGAGAAACCCACCTTCGTTCTGAGGGCCTATTCCCTACCTAGGAAATGCGATATTCTTCGACCCTCGTGACTGTAACTAGAGCAGGCCACAGCTCTTAGTGGCAGCTCGAGGGGATATAGGGAAACAAGGGTCCTCCTGGAGGAACATTGCAGTTCTTCCAGTCCAAGGAAAAATAATGTCTAAGGAAGTGTAGGGGTGTCATGACCGAACTGGGGGGAAGAATAGAGATTGCATACCCATGATGGGTAACTGGCTTGTCACCAATTTTTTTTGACCCTTTTATTGCTCTGTGGTTTCCGTAAGCTTTCGAGGCATGAATTGCGCTGTCGGACTAGGCATTGTATGGTAGAGTGAATATGACAGGAAATCTGCCTGTGAATGGTCCGGTCGGCGTGGGTGGGAGATTGAAGAGTAGACGACGTCTCGCGAGAAAATGACAGGAGCGGCTCTTGCCGTATTGACAAGGTTCCGTGTATCAAAAGGCAACAGCAGCAAAGCCTTCGTCTCGTCAGTCAGAGATCTGCCACTCGATATCCGACTCACTCTCTAATCCAACCTCTGCAATTCCCGCCCGCGAGAGAAACTGTCCCCTAAGCCAGCACCACGTCCCGGGTTTACCTCGTTTCATTTCCTGTGCATCCTTATAAAAGCATTCAGATTGAGCGTCTGCAGCCTGCCCTTCTCATCCCTTGCGCCAGTACTCCACCATTCGATGCCTCAAGATGGATGATATCTCCTCCCCTGTTGTATCCGCTTCATGCTCCCCCGGGGGCTTGACGTACGCGGAGGTCATCAGGATCCGACGAAACCTAGATCGCAATACCGATACCATATACGACGACCTTCGCAAGAATGAGCTCGATGACTGGGAGCTCCCCAGTCCGTTACTCCCTCACCCGTATCTCAGGCAGTTGCCTCCTTTACCCTCAACTCTGTCCCGGCGCGGCACAGTGTCCGAGAACGATTCTCCCGCTGACGTGCCATACGTGGTGGGCGGTTTAGCAAGCGTGGCAGCTGTTCAACTTCTGCGATCCTGTCTGAGAAACACGCCCGAGTTCCACAAATCTCAAACACCCACAAGCCTCAATAATCCAGACATCAACCTCTACCTCCTTCGAAAACACGAAGCCGCACAGTCCGACATGTCCGCACGACTGGCAACCTGCGTGTGGACGTCCAGTACCACCCAGCTGCAGACAGATACAATGGGCATTGCCATCTGGGGCACAAAGAGCACAGGAACGGACGGGGCTTTCAGCAGCCGTCCTGAAAGCACCGAGAAACAGGAGGAACGACCATCCATCCGTCGCATAGTAACGCCCGATATCAGCTCAATATTGCATCGTGGTTCAACGCCCAACTCCTCCAAATCTCAAGGGTGCACGCCATCTGACGCTTCTCGTAGCAATGGTACAGGAAGGACAGCAACATTTGCCTTCAATAGTGAATGGCAGACGCAAGATGGCCTCGTCAAGTGGAACGAGGGTGCCCCTGGCCTCGACAGTTCCAAAAGCTCAAGGTCCCCCGATGGCGACCTCGGGAGACCAGCCTCACCGTGCCAGACCCAGAACGGCGGCAGTCGCAAACAATCACTCGACACGTGTTCTTGTCCAGATCTGGGAAGAGACGAGGACGAGGAAGCCGAACGTCCAGATCTACCACGCAGGCGAACAGACGGCCCCAATGTTCACTGTCCACACCATCATTTCAAAGACGTATTTCAACGCTCTCAATCCGTTTGCCCATGTGAACCACAGCTGGACATCCACAGGGTCCGGGATCCCAGAAGTCGCCGCCGCTTGAATCGCGAAGACGTCGGGGTATTCACGGACTTGGGAACGGGCGCGGCCGGACCACTCAGCAACGCTCCAGCGCAAGAGTACTCCCCTAAGCTACTTGCCATTGCTGGCGTGATGATCGCAACCGGAGAGCTGGACCGGCTTTCACTGGGGAGTGGCGGTCATAGTCGTCGTCATTCTCTATCTCAAGCTTCACAGACCAGTGTCAGCAGCTCGAAAGACACGGACGAAGAAGAAGAAGAGCTTCCTCCCCTGCCACCGATCAAAACTGCTGTTGGTAGACGGAAGAGGCGCGCCATGTCCATGGTGGGACCCCTTTCAAGCACGCCTTTTAGTTTTGTCATGCAGGCAGGAAAAAGCGGGCTCTCGCCCACGCCGACAAGGAGGTCTTCGACGGGGAACCAGCTCTGGGCTGGACACCGAGAAGCACCCCTTCCGCCCGTGAACTCTCCCGCCCTACAACAAACAGGCGTAGGTGTAGGTGCTACCCGACCTGGCACAGGGACGCCTACGGCTCAAGGACCGTTTGGGTCATCATCGTTTCGCGCGAAGAGACCGGCGTCTCGCCGTTTGTCAGAAATATGGAACGCTTCCTGGGACAACACCAACAACCAAGAGGATGATGAGGGTGATGAAAGTCCTTCGGAAAAGCAGTCGAGTTCTCCCGGTCTTTACGATTTGGAATCCCCAAGGTTTACCGGGGTTCGCGAAGATGACGTGAGTCCCGGGGGCGGGGCCAATGCCGAAACCCCCAGGCTTTCATGGCCGCCGAATCTGAATCGCGTGAATCAATGTCTCAGGGAACAGGGGGGATATTTTGGTCGAGGTCGGAATGAGGAGGATATAAGTACACAGGACGACGGGGAAAGTCCGGAGTGGACAGAGACGGAGGAGAGAAGAGGTAGCAATCTCACTCTCCGAAATGATGAGGACCCGAGTGATGGGTACCCTTCGGACACGTCACCATCTACCTGTGAATGCACGCATTGCGAACATGCTGGGTATTATGTCAAGGTTACTGATGACGCGGTAGGTCATGGTGAGCATGAGGTGCATTTGGACGAGGATGAAGTTGGTGGAGTGATGCAGCGTTCGGGGTCGACTCAGACTATTATCCATACACCTACAAGGCATTCGAGCCAGGAGGCAGGAGACTGATGGGCGCCTGACCGGCTGAGGACTTGACTGTTGGTTAGTGAACTCGGTGTGGCTGTCTCTCGGAAAGCAGAATTGTAGATTGGTAACGGGTATGGAGGCTGGCGTCTGGATAGGTATCAGAGGCACGCACCTTGATAGTCTTTTTAGACATTCCTATAACCAACACTCCCTAGGTCAAAACCATCCATCATCAACATATTCACCATGACGTCGTTCAATCAGCAGGCCATACCAGTGAAACAACCCGCCTTGTGACCAAGGGTGGAAAACAGAACTTCCTCCTTCAGATACCCAATCAACTCAAATTTAAACGCCTTATCCCATGCATATATACGGTACATACACCAAGTACACACTATCTTTACACCGTCCCTCCTCTTTTCTCTTTCACCCACCTCAACCTTCCTGACCAGTCGCTTTCAACAGACGACATCGAATTTGAATTGGATTGTTCCGGATCGGCTGGGATCGAACCGAGTCGAATCAGGACGGAATCGCTTTACTCGCGGGCCTTGAAGTCGGTGTTGACGTCCATCTTGACGGCGCCCTGGGCCTCGAGCTCCTTTAGGCGAGCCTTCTTTTGGATGTCTTGGACGCGCCACTTCTTGAAGTATGTAACCTGTTGTAAGGGAGAGAATGAGAGGTTAGCTGGCGTGTGTGTGTGTAGAATGCGCTGCTGTCTTGTTTGAAATGCATATCCTTCCATTGCCTGACTTGGCTGGCTCCCTGGCAGGCTGTTGGCTGTTTTCGTTTTGCTCTCCTTTAGAAGGATTGATGTTGTTTTCTGGAGTCCCTTCCCTCCTTCTGGGCGTTGGGAATTCTCTGCTTGCTGTTCCTTGTCGATTGCTCGTCCCAGATACCTCTTTCTCATCCTCCTCTTCCTATTCCTCCCCAAATCCCCCAGCCCCACCACACCCTACCCCATCCCCCAGCTCAGAAGTGCTTCCCCGAAAGCATAAAATAAAAAAAAAGAGTAAGTCAAAAGTTACTACTCACCCACTGAGCAGCGCAATCCTTCTCAAACTCGACGCTCTCGGCCTTGCACGCTTTCGCGGCCGCTTTCTCGTCCTTGAGGGCGTCCATGATGTTGTTCCGGTCCAGGCAAGCAAAGTAGCCGTCGCGCGCCATCCAGCACTTTTGGCGCTCGGAGCGTGTAGGCGCAACGGTGCCCGCGCGTACCTCAGCCGCGCGCTTGTCGGCTTCGGATTGTTCAAAGAGGCCCAGGACCATTGTGAAATACTGCGGTCGTTTCGGTTTGGAGTCGGGATTGGTGTGTTCTTAGGGAGCCGGTATCGGGACGGCGGGAGACGGAGGGTTCAGTTGGGTTAGATGAAAAGGGCCGGGACCAAAGGGTGGAATTTGGGAGCGAGGTGTTGATTGCGATGTAGTGGTCTCCCGTTACATACGTAGGTAGGTTGGGAAAACGGGAAACTTGGGATCGAATTCGCGAATGATTCCCGAGCCAAGCTTCTGGGATGGAAGCTTATCGAGCTCTTGGCCCGCTATCAGTAGTTTAGTACCGGGTAGGTACCTCAGTCGGAGCTTTGTGCGGCAGGCAACTTTGTTGGGGTTCGTGCTTGGCTGAGCTTCCATCCAAGGTGGGCGGCCAAAAAGGTACAGAGGTACAGGTACCTTGCTTCCTTCTCACCACTAACCCCGGACTTTTGGTTGGTAATTTTGGATTCCACCCCATTGATAACCCTGCACGTGCCCTGTAATCTTGCAGCGGACGGGGCGGACGCAGGGACCAGGGTCAGCCCCTGCCTGTGCGTGGAACGAATGGATGCGACACTGTTGGGGCTGTCAACTGCAATGTGGTGAGTGAGTGCTGTCAAGTGCTGTGACTATGATGGCTTTCGTCCGTTGATCGCAAACCTGAACTTTAACATACCATCTTTCCACAGTCTTTTCCATTCATGGTTTCTAGGGGAGAATCACTACGAGGAACCAAGAGAGGATACAGTAGCAACAAACAGTTGCGGCTTAACGACACGCTCGAGTCATCAATAAACGAACCGACACCTCCTCACACCGAACGAGCGTCCCGTCCGACCTAGCTCCCTTCGAACACCACCCTCGAATTACCCAGACAACCACCAAGTTTCAAAACCCGATGACCGATTACTGCGCCGAATAAAAACTCCATCGCGAACAATCATAGTTACCATTCAGCCGAATCCGGCATCACACACAGCTTGAAGCATCATCAACCACAATGCCCCGCCGCCGCCGTCCCCCGCGCTCCGGCGCCCTAACTGAGCTTCCGCCCCTCAAGATCCTCGGCCAGATCGCCGCGCTACAAGCAATCTACTACACTGCTGCTCTGGTGCTCATGTTCTTCACGGCGGCCGTAGCTGGAAATCCTTTCACGCTGGACTTGGTGTTCGGGTGGGAGGCGGTAAGGGGGGATAACACACAGGGGTGGTTAAACGGCTTTATCTGGTGTTTAGTCGGCGGGTTGGTGCTGTAAGTGCTCTCCCTATGTCTCCCTCTTACCTTTTTGTCTTTGATGATCCATCAACCCTAACATGGAACCAAAACCCAAAAAAACAGACCCCTCTCCCTAACAGCCATCGTCCAACGCTCCAAGCTCATCCTCGACTTTGCCCTCACCACGCACTTCATCCACCTCGTCATCGTCACTCTCTACACCACGCCCGACCACACCTTACCCCGCCACACAGCCTGGTGGCTGACCATGGCCATTTCGTCCCTGGCGTCCTTCTTGCTCGGGTCATGGGGGTGTCGATACAGGGAACTGCAGCCTATTGCTTTTGGTGGACATGGTAGCGGCGGCGGCAACACCACGAACAGCACCACCAACAACAACTTTACCAACGGGGAGGGAGGAGCAGGACAAGGAGACGAAGAACAGGGCTTTATCACAGGAGGAGGAAGAGGAGGAGGAGGGAGAGCCAAGCGGGGATCGCGGGGCGATCTGGGAGGAGGAGATTACGAAATGGTCACCATGTCTGGCGCCAGTGGCAGCGGCAGCGGCATCGGTAGCGGTAAAGGTCATGGGAGATCACAAAGCACCGTTTCCCAAGCTGGGCTAGGGGGCCCATTAGAGAAAGCCGACTAGAAGTCCCGGTTATGGGTATTAACCAAATATGCATTACGATCACTACCCCGCGCCGTTTGGTTTCATTCCCCCAAAATAGCACTTGTTTTTGCGATGGTGGAGTTTTGGTATGTGGGGAGTGAACGAGTGGTTGTTTGGGTTGGTTGGGTTTACATCGAGACGACGGTCTTCTTCCTCTGCCTTGTTACCATCGCCCTCGCTATCACCAGCACCACGGTCCTTGTCTTTTGTTATCTTCGACGAAGAAGACGGCGACGACAGCAAGCGTTGTTGGACTTGGACTTGGAACGAGGAAGAGGAGAAGCGGGGGGATTATAGTGAAGAAGGAGTAGTAGGATATGCTGATGTTGGCTGGTCGATGATGTTGTTGGTCGTGTTATACAGTTTTCTCTGGTATATTTAGATCTCTTTTGGGACCTAGTAGCATTGGGTATTGGGTCTGGAGTTTTAAGGTGTTCCGGCATTTGGTTTCAGGGTTCTCTGGCTATAGAGTTATTGATACGGGGAGAGCGATGGCTTGATCGGATGGATACATGGATATATATGTATAGATGGATGGATGGATGGATGAACATCCGGGCATGAGATGAGCGAAAAGGTCAGGTCTGACGACGAGCGAAGTAGAACATATTGGAGGAATGGCTAATAGACGCTGGCGTAAGACGCAGGCATAGCATAGCCGCACAAGTACTGAATGCAATTACAACTTGATTCCCCATGGACAACAGTGAACATAACCTAGGTACCTATTGACATTTTGTAATCTTGATATCTGTCTGATCTGATTTTGGTTTTGGGAGAACACTAGATAAAGATCCTCCGCCTCAACTCCCCCATGCTCTAATTGGCTAAGCTCAACTCACTTCACTCACACACACAAGTCCCTCCTTTCCTCCCAAGACACTGATCCGCTGACTGATTCGATCAACAAAAGAAACAAGTAGGATGAAAAGCCAAAGGGAAAGAAAGAAATATAAACAAAAAAGGGGTCAAGTAGAAGAAAAAAAAGTTGACTACAGGTCTAAAAGAATATTCAATGCTTTCCCTCCTTCCATCCATCCTTCCTTCCTCTCGTTGCTCTCGCTCCGATCGATGCTTCCCCCCAAAAGGAAAAGAAAAAGAGAAAAATATATAAAAAAGACAACGCCAAACAGTAAATATGGTATGGTATCATGGCTTATAGTTGTTTGTTATGGTTTCCGGTGTGGTGATGTTGAATTGCTGACTTGTTCGTTCTTGTCGTTGTGGCTTTGCCTCCCCCCTTTACCCTTTTTGTTCTGCCGCTGCCAACCAATGAAGTGCACTCAAGCAGTCAACCGGGGAGCGGGAAGGAAGGATACATAGAACAGGGAGGGAGGGAGACCGAGCGAGATTTGATGGAAGAGAAATTCGTTGCGAAGTTCAAGAGGAAATTGTGGATTAGGTCTTCGTCGTCTTCCGTATCATCTTCCTTTCATCCTCGGCTCCGTCCGCACTTAACCCTTGTCCTTCTCCTTCCTTCTCTTCCCCATCATGCCGCTCTCTCGCCCGTCCGTCAACTCTAGTAACCAAGCACTGGGGCTCTTTCTCCTCCGTCTACAACGTTCCGCAGGAACCTCTCCCTCACCGCCTCCCATTTCCGTCGCGCACATTTCGTCGGTGACTCCTAGGAACCCGGCGAACTATCCATCTCCATCTTCAGCTCCAGCGCCGTCGTCGTGCCCTTCGCCTCCGTCATAGTGTTGTCGTTCTATGACACGCCTTGGGGCCGAGTCTGTGCATCGCCGAAGGGGAGCGCGGGCAGAGCCTTATCCAGGCTTTCCCGACCAATAATTTGGTGACCGCCCTTGTTGGATCTGAGCGAGCCACTGGAGCTCTTCAGGTCAACGGATTTGCCATTGCTATTACCGTTCATGAGGCCAATGCTATACCCGCTATCAGCGCCGTCCTTCAGGGACTGAGGTGATCCGTATCCATACCCTGTCTTGGGCGGTGTTGGTGGTGGTGGCCCAGGGTCTCGGTAGTCGCGAGCATGACCCCTCAGGAGCGGGTTACCAAACCCGGCCTGTCTTTCCTCACCGTCCTTGGCAGGGGTAAGAGGGCGGTACTCGCTTTCACCAGCCAAGTTGCTAACTCGGCTGTTGTGGACCTGTTGCTCGGTGGATGACCGACCCTCTGCAGCCTCTTCAACCACTGGTAAGATGCTGGTTTGACTAGCTATGTTGTCCCTGCGCTCGATGCTGCCAGGGGAGAGCGTCGTCCGGAGCGTCTTGGTCGGTACCTCCTCCTCTGATACGCCAGTCTTGTACGCCTCACGCTCCGCCCTCTGCATCGTTGCCTCGGCTTCTGGTGACTGAACACCAGAGGGTAGGGGTGGTACTGTCGTTGAAGAGCGACCGTTGCGTGCGCCAGCTCGCTGCTGCTCCTGATCGGCCAAAGCTGCTTCTGCTTGCATCTGTGCGTCTCTCTCCTGGGCTTCGCGAATCGCCTCCTCGCATGACATGGTGATACCCTCAATGAAGTTGATGAAGCGCTCGCCATATTCGTGAGGGGGGAGGGCAGAAATCTGAGTACGATCGCCCGACAAGCCCTTCCAGAAGTTTTCCAGTTTCTTGATGATGCCGTACTGGAAATCACGTTAGCACTCGTCATCAGCATACAGACCAGATAGAACATGAACCTACATGTGTCAAGCAGTCAATCACTCCGAGGTAATAGATCTCATCCGCCGGGGTGTTGTCCTCATGGGTTGCACGGAATCCTCCGTCATCCTGGTTGAAAACAAAGCCCACGCGGCTCTGATTGTGCTCAAGTTCGTCGGGCATCCGGCTGCTCGTCTCTCCCATAGGAACTGGCCTCTCGGATTTGACCATCTGCCTCAATTCTCTAGCCTTCCGCGCATTCTCCAACTTAGATGGAGTCCGCAACAAGACGGAGGAAGGGTCCTCGCGTGAATGCTCACCGCCAGGGTTGAACACACGTAGGGTCTTGTCCCGCAGATTTTCCTCGTTTCCTCTCTGAAGATCATGGATGCCGACAAGCAAAGAATAATCCATTATCTGTAGCTTCTGAAGTAACCGAACATCCTTCTGGAGCTGCTCCAAAAACATCTTCTTCTTCTGAAGTCCAAGTTCGAGATGTCGGTGTCGTCGAAGCCAGTTTAGGTCCTTTAGTGTTGCCCTTGGGTTCTTGTCGAGATCTTCCTCCCTGTAGTCACGACCAATTGTTGAACCCTTCAAATCGAAGGTCTGGTGGATGTCCCGGTGCGGAGGGAAGAGGTTGTTCATGACGACAAAGTGAATCTTTTTGCCATAGGGCATCTTGACCCGGTGTAGGCCGTAAAATTGCGAGAGAAGGGTGTTGGGGTTTTCGGTAACATGCTTGAAGTAATCCTTGAGGATCTTGCGAAGAAACTTATGCTCGGCATGGTGAATGGTCTTGATGATGTACTTGTAATCGCGAGAAAAGTAAAAGAAACTGCCGCTCTTGCCAGGAGAACCTAGCTCGGAAAGTATATACTTGCCTGTCAGTGACATGAGATAGTCTGCTGGATCCAGGCCGAAGCGTGCGCGGAGATGTCGGAAAACCCAAGGCGCATAGTCCTTGAACTTGAAGTCATACTTGGCGGATGGAACCAGCTCGTTTCCGGCACTTCTGAGGGGTTAGATACCAGATTGTGTAAGAGGAAGGAAGTATCAAGAAATGCTTACATATCAAAGGTGGATTTTTGCTTGGCCTCGAAGTCAGCGTCCGTCAGCGGGCGGTCAAGCTTGGCATTCGTTCGCGATACCGAGACTCGAATGCCGGTCAGCATGTTGTACGCTGTGACCCAGTTGGCATGTGTCTCGTCGACCTTGGTGCCAACCACAACCCGGTCGTCGTCTTCGGCATCTCTCTTCCTCCTCTTGCTGGCCCGTTTCTCCCTGTAGACTTCGGCCCATCGCAATGCGTCGTCATCTGGCACAACTTCGTCGCGAGGCATTTCCGAGTGGAGAGATCGTGTGTTCCTTCTAGCAAGATTTAGCGACGCCCTACGTACGCCAGCAACGCCAGTTGGTGAGAAGCGACCGGTTGCATACGTAGCATCGGAGCCGTCCTTGGATCCACGAGGACCCGAAGGTCTAGGGACTTCGAGGGTATGGCGATGTTTAATACCGGGACCGGGTGGCGGTGCGAGGGCACTGGTGGAGGCTGAGATGGGTGTTGCAGGGTTGTACAAGGGCGGCGACGAGTAACGATGCGGTGAAGAAGGGCTGCTAGGTGCCGAATCACGCCGCTGAGCTGGTGGTGATGATGGAAAGTATCCGTTGGAAGTCTGGTGGGCGGAGGGTGTGGGCGTCCCGTTCTCGGTGGTGCGAACGTCTCCCGTGTTGGCCGGGGGTGGATGAATTGAAACAGTGTTGGCAGAGCCCAGGGAGGCACCCTTTTGGTCGTGTGTCGCTTGAGCGTCCGGAGTTGGACGGACTGTGCGGTCCGGAATTGCAATGGGAAACCTGCCGTTTGGGTGCGGCTTCCCGCTTTTCGTGACTTGATGGCCGCCCAGCCTGGCGCCCCCGTCGGCCCTGTTTGCCCCGTTCAGGTTCATCCCATGTAGTTTCCCACTAATCCCGTCCACATCGCCATCGACACCTCCATTTGGCGAAGAGGTCATGTTGGGATGTCGTCGCAGACTGTCCCCATTCAATCGTGTGCTGATGTCCAAATCGTCGGTAGAGGTGTGTGTCGATTGGCTGGAACCCTCGTCGTCGAAGCTCTCGATTGACGTGTGAGAATGAGAGTGACGAGGAAGTGGGTGTTCATCGACCTTGCCGTTAGGTTGCCCGTATTGACCGGCAGGGTTGAGGTGTACGACGGCGGGGGAATGCTGGTAGATTGGCGAGTTCTGGTCGGGTGCGAAGGAGGGCATCTCGGGTGGATAATGGCACCCGGAAACTGGGCAGCTAATGGCTACTCGGTGAGCAATGTTTCGGTATTATTGTCGGCTGGCGGTAGCGGCACACATGCTTCGACGGCGAGAGAGAGGCCAAGGATGACAACTGCCAACTGCGTACCAGCCCAGGGACGGATGGCTGATTGATTGTGGATTGTTGACCAAGTCGGTTAAGGGGGTTCCGAGATTGGCGCTGGTCCGCGGTCGGCCCCGTTCGGGATCGAGAAAGGGGGTCGAATTAAGATGATGGATATGGCAGATAGGGAAGGAAGCGAGACAGGAAATGACGAGAAACCGCGGAGACGAGACAATTGCGTCGCGTTAATATCGAGTGGTGGTGGTGGTGTTGATTGAGTGTTGGTGTTGAGAGGTGGTGTGTGTAGTGTGCAGCTCAGCTGCCCCGACGTTGAAACGAGTTGGAGTGGTGGTGGTGGTAACAGGATTGGAGGTTGGGAGTGAATGAAGCTGGCGGACTGTCTGGGGCTGGGTGCGTGCTGCTTGCTGACTGACTGACAGTGACGACGGGCCCAGCAGCGACGGCCACCTGTTGGGGAGGGACGATCGGACAGGGCAGTTTGGATCCCAGCCAGGTACCTAGGGGAAGCCGGACAACCAGTGGCGGGCAGCCTTGGCACTACCCAGGCCGGACTATCAACGGAAAGCGAGAAAGAAGCGACAAGGGTTGGCTTGGCCCGATTACTGTACACGTAAAAGGTGATGGGGCGGCTTAAAGATGAGGACGGATGAGATCAAACTCGTGTTATTGTAGTATCATTAGTCTAGGTCGTTGGGTCGTTTCATTCAATGGCGTGTCGTGTAGTGTAGGTAGTGAGTGCTGTGGGAGAGTGTGTGATTTCCAGGTGTGTGCTTCAGGTTGGCGTACAGCGGCAGTGAGTGCGACCAGAGCAGAAACCGGGAAGAGAGGACCAGACCAAACCAAAGTGGAATGTCGCGCAGGCGGCAGTGACAAAAAAAGGCGGACGAGGCACCGGTCAGAGACGGAGTAAGAGCAATGTGGGCCTGCAAGGAAGATAAGTGGCTTCCGCGAGAGAAAGAAAGATGAAGAATAAGATAAAAAATAAAAAAAAGACGCAGAGAAAATGAACGTTTCCAATCAGATTAAAGACCCTTGATTTCGGCACGATAGTGATGAGTGGGAACAAAATCGATGGAGGGATTCCCCGGTGTTGATGTCGCCGTTGTTGGTGCTGTTGCCAGAAAACCAGGAAAGATGATGGTGGTGATGCGGAATTGGAGTACACAGGGAACACAGCGAAACGGTGTGTGGACACTGGACACAACC